GTATATCGATCAGCCAAGGCTCGGGGTATTTAATATCTGAGGAGAAAACCTCCGGAAAATTAATGTTTAGATTTTGAAGAATGGATTTAATTCTTTCGTAATATGGTTTTTTAGTATAGCGAATATCTTGGAATACGTTTACATATTTATTTGTAAAAGTATTTTGATATATTGGCTTTGAAATATTTCCAGCGACTGAGGCTGCATGTGATAGAGCGAGGTACATGCGGCGGTGATGTAGCGATGGTTCTCCTAAAAGAGCATAAATGCTGGATACAGGTGTAGTTGGGAAAGCCCCTAAGATTAGTCTAAGACTTTTATTATGAATAATATCTAATGATTTCAGTAGAGATTTATTAGCAGTGGAATAGGCAATTGCTCCATAATCTAGCTTAGAACGTATTAAAGATTTATACAGGAGGAGTAGAGTGGATTGGTCTGAGCCCCAGTTTTTATTACAGAGAGATCTTAATACGTTTATTCTTTTATTACAGGAAAGGATGAGTTGTGAGATGTGATTTTTCCATGTTAACTTTGAATCGAAGATTAAACCCAAGAATTTGTGGTGATCTCTAAACTCTAGCTGTTTCTCATACATTCTTAGGTTAGGAGGTTGTGGCAAGGAGCTTGAAGAGAATACGACTCCTATTGATTTTTCTATTGAAAATTGAAAACCTGTAAAGTTGGACCAATTTTCGAGAGTATCTAAAAAGTTTTGAAGAATTGATGATATTGAGGAAATATTTTTACCTTTAATAGATACCACTAGGTCATCAGCGTATAAACGAGCCTGTAAGGGTGCTTGAATGTTTTTAATGATGTCGTTTATTGCTACCAGAAATAGTGTTGGACTGAGTATGGATCCTTGGGGTGTACCATTTTCCAAACTATAAATATTTGAAGAGATATTATTTATTTTTACTTGAAAAGATCTGTTATTTAAAAAGTTTTGGATGAAAGCAAGGCAGTGACCTTGAATATTCCATTTATAAAGTTGTCTTAAAATGTTGTATTTCCAAGCTTTATTAAATGCACGTTCTAAGTCAAAAAATATAGCAACACATTTTTGGTTTGTAGCAAGAGCTTCATGTATTTCACTTTCTAAATCTAAAATGTTGTCTGTGGATGACCGATCTTTTCTAAAGCCATTTTGCTCTGAGATTAAGAAATTGGAATTTTCTAAAACCCATGAGAGTCTGGAGTTAACAATATTTTCTAGTAATTTGCAGGTTGTCGATGTCAGAGATATGGGTCGATATGATTCTGGGTCATATTTAGGTTTATTAGATTTTAGGAGAGGAATGACTATTGCATTTGACCAAATAGCTGGCCATTGGTGGTGAAGCCAAATTCTGTTGAATACGTTTAAGAGATACGTTATGGCTGAAACAGGGAGATGTTTCAGAAATGCTGAAGGAATATCATCAGGCCCAGGACTAGAGTCCTTCAAGTTAAGAATAGATGAGTTTATCTCTTGAAAAGTGATGGGATGGTTTAATGAATTATTTTGTGCTTCAAACAGATAAATGGGATTTTGTTCGGCGAATTCTTTGGCTTTGAGAAAATTGGTGGTATACTGTTGATTCGATGAGTGGCTTTGATAGATTCTTCCAAAAATGTTTGCAATATCGCTGCTCGATGTTATGAAATTATTATTTTCTTTTAGCCCCGTGAAATTATATGAAGTATGTAAACCAGAAATTTTCCTTACTTTGTTCCAGACATCAGAGAGGGGGGTATTGCTATTAATTTCCGATACGTATTTGTTCCATGAATATTTTTTAGCCGTTTTGACAGTTAGCTGTGCCCTTGCTTTAAGCATTTTGAATTTTAATTTATTTTCGGATGTTTTATGTTTTTTGTATCGGTTTAGGGCTGATTTACTTTCACGGATTGCTGTCGCACAACGGTCATTCCACCATGGTACAGGACATCGGCCTTTAACAGATTTAGATTTACCAATAAATTTGTGGGCGGCGCTTAAGATAAGTTGATTAAACTGCTCTACTTTCGAGTTAACATCGTCTGTTATATGCAAACTGGAAATGTTATTATCGATATATTGGGAGAACTTTTGCCAATTTGCATTTTTTATTCTCCACTTAGATATGAATATGGGTCCTGATGAGGAATAATTATGGTTTCTAATTAGGATTGGAAAATGGTCACTACCATATGTATAGGTTTGAGCATCCCAACTGAGGCAATGAGCTAAATTTGGGTCGCAGAGAGTTAAATCAATGCATGAGGAATATCCTGTGGAAATATTGAATCTTGTAGGGCTACCATCATTAAGAAAATTTATATTAAGTTGATCTAAGATATCGGCAATACTTGAACCTCTGACAGACGTGTGATCTGAACCCCATATTATGTTGTGAGCATTAAAGTCGCCTAGAATTATACGAGGACGTGGCAGTTGCTCTAATAACCTGCAAAGGCTATCAGAACTTACTTGTTTGTCACAAGGAAGGTAAACATTGCAAATAGATACTAAACTGGTAGATATGATTTTGATAGCAACGGCCTCCAAATCACTGACTATTGGAATTTGTATCGCCTCGATGGATTTGTTTACTAGTATTGCTACACCACCGCTTGCACGACTTGCATCTGTGCGGTCTTTGCGGAAACAAGTAAAATTTTTTGAATTGTACAACTGATTGGTCTTTAAGTTTGTCTCCTGTAGACAAATAATATCTGGAGAATATTCGGATAAAAGAAGCTGTAGCATAGGGAGGCGATGGAAAAATCCATCAATGTTCCATTGAAGTATTGAGTTGAATGCTGTTAACAGATTCGGAGTTAGATGATACTGAACAATTGTCTACAGAAGAGTCACTATCTAAGTCAGAAATATCTTTCCCTAAATGGTTGATTAGTTTTTTTTGAAGTTTTGTAAACTTGCTTTTTGTAGATCTATCATTTGCATATTGATAGCTGCTTTTTAAAAGATGGATTAAACCAGCCATATCAGTTGTGAATTCTTTAACGACGCTAATAGTGTCGAGGGAGCCTTGGACATTATCAATCAATAAGGACAATTGGTGGAAATTTAAAACGAATGGTGGGGTATGATTATCAATGAAATTTTCAAGAGTTTCCCGTGTAGATGGAACTTGAGATGAGCGCGGTTTTTTTTGTTTAGAGGGTTTGGGTTTTGCAAACAGATTTTCTGATGAAATTGCTGAGTCTGAGGGAGGCGTGTCGATCTCACCAATACTGCGTTTTATGGAAGAAGTTGCGTTTTCGCAATTGCTATTAGAGTTTTCACGTAGATGCTGTGGCTTTATTACATTTGGAAGTACTGGAGCAAATTCATTGGTACTGACAGAAGTCGAGCTTGAAGTTTTATTTGTAAGATTGGTTGAAATGGTTGTTTCAAAAAATTGTGATGATGTATCAGATTTATTAGAATTTTCTGCAGTTGTATCTAATGGAAAAGGAGCTGATACATTGGAAAATATTGCTTCCGAAGCTTGTGAAAACGGTATTGCCGCTGAATGAGGTTGATTAAAAGTGTTGCTATGAGTAGGAGTATTAGTAATTTCTTCGTCATGGAGATTTGTAGGTGTAGGTGATATGCTCGGATTTGATAATGGATAACTTGATGACTGCTGGGTGTTTGGTACCTTGTGTAGTATACTTGTTGACGCTGTTTGATTTGGTACTTCATTGTTTGACTCAATATGAGTTGATTCCGTTATTGAACTGTTTTTGCATTGGGATGATATGTGCCCTGTATTTTTGCAAATAAAGCAGGTGAGTGTACCTTGTGACAAAAATATGCGGTAAGGTGTTTGGTCGAAATTTATTAGAATAGAATCTGGAATTGGTGATGTTATAGGGCTTATATAAACTTGCCTCCGAAAGCTCAATATGTGACTATATTCGGGAAGGGTCGAGCTAATTTTCAGAAATGTTATTGGAGAAATAAGCTTTAAACCGATATTCTGTAATTCTTCAACTAATACTTGATGAGGAATTGACGGGCAAACTCCAGACAGGACTAGTCTTTCTGCTGGAGAGACAAGTCTTCTTGCTGTTACCACTTCGCCGAGTACTTCTATAGAGCCATATTGTGTCATGAAGTTATCTACTACGGTCTTGTTTGCCAAATACATGCAGATTCTATTATGAGATAATCTAGATGAAAAAATAATATTTTTTGGCTTGATGATTGTACCCAAAGGAATGAGATAATCCTGCAGTTTAGCATTATCGATACAACTAAATACAATTGCTTGGTTCTTACTAGGAAAAGAATGTGAAGCGGCTGAAGCATAACTGTTTGTGATATTCGATCGTTGATTTACTGGACTGGTTAGATCGGAAGATGTGTTTACATTGTGTGAAGTCATTTTGAGGTGCGGTGGCAAAGCCTTACTCCGACTCTGGTAAGTGAAAAACCAGTCGCATGCTACTATAAGCTACTTATAGCAGCTAACCTCACAAAATGATTGTACGGTAGTTTATATTTATTATTTGACTTTTTATTTTCACAATAATAAAATAATAATTACGTATAGATGACTTACGTAGTAATATCTAGTAGATAAACACTTTAATTTTAAAAAACTATTTAATAAAACCACTTGTTTTTATTAAAAACTAAGAGTACGATATCGATACAACTTAACCGTACCTTGCCAGGGCCGGTCTCCGAAAAACTATTACATTGTCAAAATTTGCAAATAATCTTATCGCAGTGAAGATGCCTAATAACATAAACAAGTGATTTTGCTTTACTTTCTCGCCTGATATGATAATATTGTAAAATCTATTAAAATAGTCAATAAGTCAATATAAAAATGGAATTTTTGGAATTTTTTAGAAAAATGCATGAAATCAATCAATGTTATCACTAATTTAAAAGTGGAAAATCTGCAATGATAGTGAATACCACAATACAAAACAAAATTAAAATTCAAGTGGATTAATCTTTTATGAAGTGTTTGTCTTTAAGTATATAAAGCGAAACCTGCAATGCATATTTATTATTGTAAAATATAATTCTCCAACATGAAAACCATATTGATTTTGGCACTTTTCAGCTGCATTGGTAAGTAGTGATATTTTTTATTGTTATTGAAAATTTATTGTGCTTTTATATTTTCCAATAGTATTTTGTTTAATGTATGTGTTTTTTAAAATGAGCTGTTATGTATTTGCATATTAAGCTTAATCTCATGGTCAACATTTGGATACTAAATAGCTGCTACAAAGCTTCACTAATAAGCGTTCAAAATACGCGCTGAAGGATTCAAACGAATGCTAAATAAAGACATATTTACTAGAACATAAAATATATTGGTTGATTATTATTATCATTGATGGTCAGTATTAAGGATTAGGAAAAAAATAATCTACTTAACAGTACATAAATTTTTAAAATCTGGAATTTTGGAGTAATAATTGAAGAAAGATGAAGTCCAACTCAGGACATTCGGAAGATGGCACATGGAGAATCAGGAGAAACGACGAGGTTAATAAGTTAAATGAAGGTTATGACAATGTAAGATTTTTGAAAAGTTAAAGACTGCCATGGCTGGGATATGTGCAGAGACAAAACGATGCAAAAACAACAAAGAAAATGTTACAATGGAAGCCCATAGGAAGGCAAAAAAAAAGAAGACCCAAAACGACATGGTTGGATGACGTGGAAGACGACTTGAAAACAATAAACATAACACAATGAAGAAGAAGTTCACAAAAGAGATTTGAATGGAAGGACATAGCCAGACAGGCAAAGACAAATCCAGGGTTATGATGCCATAAGAAGAAGAATTAATATCAACTGACTGTGTTTTGACATAACTGACTATATTTTATTAGATATCCAAATGTTTTTTCAATGTACCTATATTCAAAATTTGTGTTGGAGGTTTTTTAAAAATTATTTAGAGTGTTATTAGAATTAAGTTGAATTAGTTTAAAAACACAAAGACATTTTTTTAGTTTAATAATTTATTAAAAATATTAATGTATTTTTTGTGAATTGTAAAAGCAATATTTGTTTGCAGCCCTTACCATTTACGCTCAAGGTCCTGAGCCAGAGCCTACCCATGAGCCTGAACCTGAACCTACGGGAGAGCCTGATGAGTAAGTAAAAACAAATAAAAATAATAAAGTGTCTATACGATCTAGTAAAGTGAACCGATTATTATAAGCAACTGAAAGACAACTTAATGTATTTTACTCAATTCAACCCTCATTCAATATCATTTTGAAGACAATTACATTTTTTAAATTTTAAATAGGGAATATTATTTTAAATAGGTTCAAAATAATTATCGTGACTTCTTATTATGTTAAACTTTTGTCATTATTTCTGATTAACAATCTATTAATCAATAATGATCCATATAAAAGATATACAAGATCTCCAACATTTTCAAGACAAAATATTTATTGGAAAATAATCTTAGTTTTACAGCCAGTGGTATATTTATTGTTGACATACAAGTGATAACACTATCTCTTGGATAGGTAAAAACCTAAAAAATGATTTTTCTAATGGTTACCTAAGAAATTTCCTATATTTTTGGAGATAAAGGGTGTTAAAGACAAATATGTTACACATTTTTTACGATTTTTCTGAAACTATTGGCAACATTAAAATAAAATTTATTACGAATATATTGTGAAAGCTAATACATACCATAAATTTGTTTTTATATCTAACTCTCAGACAGGGCACTAGTTACCAAGCTCGTACCAAGTATTATTCAAAATAACTTTTGTAGGGTAAAATTCTTGATGCAAATTCCAATTAGACTTAAACTTCATAGAATTCTACACCCAAAACTTACCCTTGGTGAAACTCCATACTCTGTAACATATTCGGAATAGTTTGATCTGAAAACTATAAAGTACTTTTTTTAAAACACTCTGTAGAATTATGCCAGAATATTTATATTTTTTATGTAAAAATAAACCTAAAGTACATTACTCACCACATTAATATAAGCCCGATAATAAATTTATTTGTTTTGGATTAAACAAAAATATTTTTTTTCAGACGTAAGTGCGATGCTTGCATAACATTGGCATCTATAATCAGGGACTACGTGGATGAAAAAGTTCCACTAGTAAGTATAATAATTGTAGAAAAAGACAGTTAAGATTTTATTTCACGTATAGTGTATCTATGTAGCCGCTTATAAGTATTTCATCGTAAATGGTATGAAATATGAATGTTCAAAGTTCTTGATCTAGTCTTTTTTGGTAAACTTCGTCCGAATAGGCTTTGTTCTTTGGAGTTATATAACTCATTTGCCGATATACCAATTTTGCTCGTTTGTTTTACAATAACACAATTTCCTATATTTAATATTTCATATCCTACTTATCCTACTTTTTTTTATTTATTTTTTTAATTATTTTGTTTAAGGATTCACCATTCAAATAGTTTCTGCAGTTTTGTAACTTACTGAATAATTCCAATTACATGGTCTTTTTTTCACTGTTCGAACCAATTTTGCTGCGTATTGCGTTTCGTTTTTAGTAGATACTAATATTTTTTTACTTCTATTTTAAATATAGTTTAAAAAATTTTTTTTCGCGGCTTCAAAAAAAATATATAACAAATCATCGTGAAGTACTATTTGTTGATCAGAAATTCTTTATTTATATAATTAATGTATAATTAATGCTAGGAATAATTTAATCTAAATTTTTTTTCTTACAGGACGAAGTTAAAAAGGATGCAGATAAATTATGCCATGATTTGCCAGGTGACTTGCAAGAAGAATGCGAAAAGGAATTGCTTCCAAATCTTGACAAAGTCTATGAGGAGCTTCAAAAACATACACCTCTAGAGTTATGCGAACATTATAAATTTTGTTAGGAAGATTAATCTAATTGTAATATGTACTACTACTTATAAAAGTGAAAAATAAATTTTTTTAATCTAAATTTAGCTTTTTTCATCATCAAACAGACAAATATTTTGTTCAATATCAGTTTACCCCTGAAAAGACGCTTAGAAATGGAATACACCGACTACATTTTTTTTGCATTTTTATCGCATAAAACTTTTTGATTAGATTCTTTAAAGTTTTGCTTTACATTCAAAGCTATTTTTTTTATTTTTCCAAACAGGCCGGAAATTGTAACTAACAAATAAATTATAACAAAAAAAAACAATTTTCTGATTCACTATGACTAAAATTTTTTAAGATGTATCTCATCAAAGTAACTACTTTTTCCTTCTTCGACAGTTTTCGAAAAATGCTTCCTTTTGGAATTATCTGCAATTTTTTAGAGAAAATGCCTCATTTAGTGATTTTTGGAACTTTATTTCTAAGAAACTAATAAATTAATTACTAATCATCATTGGGGTGCAGACGAAGACTCCTTGCTTCAGATTTATAGATGTCTTATTCGTTCTTAAATAGACTACTGCAGTTTCGTTTATCTGTCAGCTAGCCCATCAGATTTAAAACTTCTAAATTCTGTACACAACACTGCACTCCGAATATGCCTTGGAGCCTTCAGGTCGAGCCCCGCAGAGAGTTTATACAGAGAAGTTAATGAACTTTCCCTCTGGCTACGTCACCAGCAACTACTTTTAAAATAGGCTTCTCGAATCTCAGCTAATACCTAAAACCCAGCTTATAAATTATTAAGTAATGAATCTTTAAACTCTCCTTCTCTTATTAAACTTTATTCTATGCCACAGTATCTCTCACCACACCTGAATAATATCGATCTTTCAGCCACAACTTCAATATAAATATCACCTAAACCTCCCTGGAATAAATTGATAGCAGATTTTTATCTCTCGTTAACTAATTATGATAAGCACCAGACAAATCCACAATTTCTAAGGCAAACCTTTAAAGAATTAATTGCTAACAACAGATATGACCAAATATTATACACAGATGCTTCTAAGAGTCCTATAGCTGTTGGATGTGCTGTAACTTCAAACAAAGATTTAATCATATCTTGCAATCTCTTGTTCTTCATCTCCATACATACTGCTGAATTATTCTCCATTCTCCAAGCTACAAACTTACTATCTCCAGAATACAAAAAAGTAGCAATATGTACAGACTCTTTAGCGCCTATCTATTCTCTCAAAAGTATGTACACGGTAAATCCTTTGGTTCAAGCTATTCAAAACTTATTCGATAGTTTAATCTCAATGGGAGTATCCATAACCATGATCTGGATACCGTCTCATGTAGGAATCCCTGGTAACGAACTAGCCGACCTATTTCCAAAACAAGCCTTGTCTTTAAATATGGAGACGGAAAACATACAACCACATACAGATTTACAGTCGTTTTTTACACAGCTTTTTACAGCGTTAAAAAGCTTGAGTTTCCTGCCATGACACGAAAAAACAAAATCCTAATTCGCCGACTTAGAATCGGCCATATAAGACTAAATCATAAACATTTAATGACTTCTTAAGATCCACCTGCATGTACACACTGTGGTAAAATCCTATCTGTTAAACATATTCTCGTAGACTGTCCCCGCTTTATTAACGAAAGAAAAAAGAATCTGTTGAGTCAAAACCTACAAAATATTCTCAGTTCGCCAGATCAATTCCAAAACCTTACTAACTTTCTCTATGAAACCCAGCTTTACCAGGAAATTTAGAAGAAGATATTTAAATTTTTTTATTGACTGTAATGTTATTGTATATTCTTAGAAGGTCGAGACACGTAAAGCAAAAAAAATTACAATTCTACAAGAAGCTTTATAATGTTTAAATCGTCACGTACAAGCGAGAATATTTTGACAAGGATGTGATTTTTATTTTGCTATATTTATATAACAAGCGAGTCTTCTACAGCTGGCGCCGCTTCTCGCAATCTTCAGTTGTTAGATCTCTGGCGGTCATTGCATCCTCGCCATCGTCTCTTCAGGATCGTCTTGGTCTACCTCGTTTTCCTCTAGTTGGCGGAGTCCATTCTTCTATTATAGCCATCTATTTTCCTGCATTCCCTGAAGGTGTCCATACCAGTTAAGTCTTTTGGCTTCGATTGTGTCTATTATGTCTAGATCTATTTCCATTTCTCTTCGAATATCTTCGTTTCTCACCCT